TAATAAAATACTTATTTTATTTCATGCACCATATCTAGGGGTTATAATATTAATGAAAATAAGCATAACACATGTAACTGTATGTAAATTTAATAAAAACCTAAGTAAGACCTGTATTATGTATTAACCATTGTCCAATTTGCAATTTTTTTCTGACATTATTGTCAAAATAGTTTCGTACGTTATAAAGCTGTGTGAAACCGTTTTTAGAACTATTTTACAAAAAAAAAAAAACCTGATCATACTGACCATTATGGACAACTTATGCATAACATTTATTTTTGTCATTCTATCATTGAACAACATGTCCTGCGTGTATGGACGTTGTTACTAAACTTGTAAGGGTTCAGCGGATTTCAATGTTTGGTACACAGATGGATCACGTCCTATATTAACAAAGGCTAGTTTTTATTAAAACGTGGTCAAAGCTGTGGGATATAGCTAATGGTAAATATTTTTTTAATGCAGGCAAAAAAATTATACGTGGCTGGTTTCTTTGTGTGGGGACCATAGAGAAACTACTTGTTTACGAAGTTCTCTATATGGGTGATACAATGCAGTCAAACTTATATGTATAGACGAAATAAAAGTAACACGGATAAAGTAGGTTTGTCCTATTTCTGCTAATATTTGAATGGCTTTCATGATGTTTTTTTATCTGAAAGTTTAGGTACGACAATGAAATTACTGGAAGTACTGCGACTTGATAAAAACTTGATGTCACAGGATACGAAGTTCTTCAGTTACGTTGCACTTGAGTTGCGGTAGCCGTTTACTATCAGGCGGGCCCTATATCTGATCGTCATCATTGTATTATTAACAAGTGTTTAAAAACATTTTTAAAAATAAGCTTCTGTTACCACACATTTTTTTGTCAAAACGAATCAAATGAGCCCGAACATTTCTGATTTATTATGCGTAGTTTACAATTCCCATGGCCATTTTTCGTCTTCGTCATGAAATCAACTTGATTGCAACATTATATTGTATTGTTGCTAAACTTATATAAATATGCCAAATTCTTGCACAATCGGACGCCAGCAGGTGATTAAAAATAGATTCATTAAAGGAATGTAAATACTCTAAAGTTTCTAAAATCAATATCAACCGTTACGGTATTATATATATATAGTTATGTATTCTTCAAATTTTATGCAACGTCTTATTATGGGTCTGTCATACAGAGGAATTTATTAAAAGGTAAAGTTATTAGGTAATAAATAAGTTTAATTAAGGCAAATACACTATCTACAGTAAACGACGAACCATATATTGTAAACACATTTTTAGATTCGTAATATATATTCTTGCTGCACTTTCCGAATATACCTGTAAACCGTATGATTTAACATTTATTAATTTATACTTTTTGTACAAACATTACCATAATTTTTAAATGAAAAATTCTTATGATGTTGATCTGCATAAATAATTTGTAACAAATAACATATTTTAAATAGCAAGAGCGAATGATATCTGCACTTATTTAGAAAAAAATAATCTGACTTTAAATATATTTCCTACTTTCATGGAATACATACTCAAAGTACGCCATCTTCATTACCATGAATATTCTGGATTGATTACTCACACTACATTTACGACTAACATACAGGATTATACTTTATTCAATTTTTATACTATGTTACAAACAAAAACTGTAAAATTTTAATCTTTGTTTTCGTTAATAATGATTGGTAGCACTCATTCTATCACATTTATATGTTTAGAGTTCTTATACATTTTCACTTAATTTTTTAATTGAAGGCCTAATAATTATATGCTGAATTTCAATATTTCAGATCTCATATAAATATTTTTTAATAAGAAGACTATAAATACTGAATGTCGAATAAAAGTAGCAATGAAATTAACATCCATACATAAGTATGGTACTAAGATGATTAATTTCGATCGTTTATTTGGAACATTTGTTTCTATAGCTATGTATACCATTAAAAAAAGAATAATTATTATAAAATGGTATATAAATATAATATTTACTTAGATATTCTTGTTTCAGCTGTAGCCATTATTTTTTCCTAGAATTAATATTATTTTTGTTTTACAGGTTTCCGTATTTAGCTAGAGGCGGAATTTTCGTCATTCTGAAGGTAGTGTATTGTTTTTTTATTTCTAAACCTTTAAATAAAATAATTACACACGAATGACATTTAAATTGTATTTAGTTATTTTTTGTTTATATCTATTTGCAATAAAAGTTCTTGCTGTCCCAAAAAAGAAATCTATATTTGGAAAAGCTTTTTATTTCTGTATGGGTATTGACTCATATATACCGTATTTACTGTTTTTTATTTTGTTACTATACTTATTCGAGCACGTCTGTCCAAATTGTATTACTAAAAGAATGAATCTATTTTATTGCAGTGTCTCTAAAGGAAATCAAGGCACAATGTACGCAAGAACTGAAGTGGTTGAAAGCGCTGTAATACAAGGTACGTGTATACTGATATATTGCCCGTTAAGTTCGTGCGCGGCACTCCTGCGGGTCAACGTCTTATAGAAAGGGTGAAAGGCATTCTTTCTTTCTCCGCGTTACATTATCTGTACCCTAGTAGACGTTTATCTTATCACCTGCGCATGTTCTACGGACTTGTTAGTGCCGCAAACGAAATAGACGATAATAATTGTTTCCATAAATTAAAAGATGCATTGAAGAGTGTGGTTATCTGAAGATCAGTTCAAAATTTGAGTATTTTTCTCCTTTTTTTTTACTTACGTATTAGTTTTTTTTATATATACCGTTATCATTACTTTGTTTTTTAATAATATTTCTATTTATTAAGAGAATTTTTTATTTTGTTTATGTATGATGGATCTTACTCGTATGGATCGCTTGTCATTTAATACTGTAGACATTAATATTTGGAATTGGCGCGGTTCAAAATATGGATTATAAGAAGTGACCTTAAATATAATGCAAGTTTCTATTTTTTATATATCTATTTGCGTTTTATATCTGAAATCGTGCTTTCTAATATGAATTTTATTATAAAAGGCTTGGTCTTATATTGTATCGAGTTGTGTATTAGTATTATATTTTAAATTTGACTTTATGCTTACTATCTTATGTTAACCACACTATTCGTATTACATTATTATTATAAAAATGATGATTCTATATATTTTGTCTTCTTTTCCCGACGGATGTATAATGACGTATACTTTATATTCTGATATGAAAGACGCTATCATTTAATTTCAATGTAAAATTATAATGATTATTGTAATTTCAATTATATTAAGGTATATGATATTTACTCAGTTTAAATTTATTTATTTTATATTTTTTTATGAAATTAATGGTAGTGTCATCTGTATTAGTAATATAAAGTACAAAGTATGTCATAATTGCAGTAATGTCTTAAATTTTTTTTTTTCTTTTCAGTGAAAAGGACTGCTTACTCCTTTGCTGTACCCCTGATGACCAACATTAGATTGTAATGTAGTTATTTGTAATTTATTGAATTTGATTATACAACCCCTTAAGTATCGTTAGCGTATAAAATCTTATTCAGGTTTTTTATTAGAAATTGTTCTTAAAAAGGTTAATTCCAAATTTTTCATTCAATTTCAAAATTTTTGTTACTTTAATATTAGAAAATTAAACTGGGACTCTTGAAAAATGATCTAAATTTAAGCTAAATAAATACACATTCACAAAATTTCATTTAAATCGGTTGTGCTCTTTTGTACATTAAAAAAAAACAAACATCGTGATATTGATTTCTGTATGTTAAGATAAAAATGATTTAACCTTTTCTTAATGTACCTTTCAATAAAATTTAGTAATAATATTATTTCAGTTTTGAAATATTTTATTATTTTATATATTTTGTTAATTGTTGGTAAATCGTACTTTACGAAAATATTCAAATTTATTTTTATCTATAGAAACTATAACTGTTCATTACATTCACTGATACTGATATTATAAAATGATATTTAAAAATTAAAATTCTTTTTTAGGTACACATGTATCTATTATTTAACTATTTAGTATTAGGGTATTCATGTTATATTTGAAGAATCATGCTCTCTTAAAAAGAATAGTCCGTTTGAGCCTTTTTCGTTTGGGTTTATATATTTAGCAGCATAAAATTAGTAATACTATTAAAACCATAAATGTACTTGATAGCACTGGTATGTAAAAGTATATACATACTCGTATATTGACTCTGTGGAGTCCATATATTAATTATTATGTATCTATGCTTTTTACACTCAACAACATAGCATTTATCACGTAAAAAAGTTTCCATAAGCATACATTTAAAAAATATTAATACAATATAATTTATTTCTAAATATTCTTTTCCAATCTTTTCTGTAAATGAATAATATTATTATAGTGATGATTTGTGCAATTACATTAAACTAGTCACTGTAATAAGTATATGTAATAGTTTAAAAGATTATATGTTTTCTTTTAGATATGCTATGTTTACATTTCTTATTGATATAATATTAAAACATTTCAGTGTTTCGATGTAATTAATTCCAGTACCATTTGGAAAATGATGGATCATTAAATGGTAAGTGGAAAATAACTACACACTACACTATAATTTTAACAATATTTTAACTGAACTCATTATAAAAATGATGATTCTATATATTTTGTCTTCTTTTCCCGACTGATGCATAATGATGCACTTTTTGTTTTCTGATTTTTTATCAACATGAAGTAATATTTTCTTTAGTTAATAAGTATATCTATTAATAAGAGAAAATTTGTTTTTTATTTCAGATTAAAAGGTGGATAGGTATCTACGTACATAGTGTCATAGTGTTTGAAATGTAAATATGTATTATTGTGTATAGTTACTGGTTGTAAAAAATATTTGTATATTATTTGTAATATTTGTAGCACTGAAATTTTATATGAATGTAGCAGTGCCTTTAATATATTGTTTATAGTTAATTAAAAATAAATAATACATTCCATTGAAAGATGTTTTATATTTATTACCTTCATCGTTGATGTACTGTTAAAAGATGTAAAGATTACTCTACAGATCAAATCAATAGATCAAATGTATCATGAAGTCTCCTCTTCTTCGATGGCATAAGTGCTTTCGTTTCTAGTGTGAAGAAAATAATCACCAAAATTGTCGACAATTGCAGGATAACCCATTAAAGTAGCGTTTGTCTTACATTCACTTCTTTCAAATCTTTCCCAATTTTCGCAAGGATAGGATTTGAACTTTACTTCGCTGAATATTGATTCATAAAAATATTCACACGCCCTCCCATGGCTACAGCTATCTAAAATTGTAAAATAGATTATCAATTTATTAGTGTAACAGTCGGAAAGTCGTTTACATGTGTTCTATTGTCCCATTTGTTTCTGCTGCCAAGTGAATGTTTTATTGGTTTGAAGGCTGATTGTGGTAGTGAGATTACAGAGTATGGAGGCATAACACCTTTAGGTTGGGGGGAAAGCAAAGAAAGGGAGTAATGGAGATTAAGAATCCCATTGCTAGCAATATACCCAAGCAGTTCGACCTCCTCGCGGTTTTCTCTGGAAACTATCATGGTTAATTCCAGATGATTTCATCATGATGGGCTAACTGGCCTGTTTTCATTCTCATTGATCACCCTTCACTGGTGCTCCGCCAGCGTATCCCATTAGCTCAGGCGGGGGTTGCCTTTCTATTTTCACCCATTAAAAACACCTTTAGGTCTGGCAACATGAGGGGTATTATGGGTGTTACAATGTTTTCTGTAATGATTGTTGCGATTAAAATGTCTATATTCTCTTCAACGCAATGTTTTCATCAGATTGGTCATCAGCTTGTTTGCCATTACTGTTTGCGTAAAATAAATAAGAAACGAATTGTGTGTATGATGAATGTACTGACCCGTGTATTTCATAGAGCCCTTGCACCCTGGCTGCACTGAGCGGCCTTTATTGGGATAGAAGTCTGCGTGCCCGTGACTATCCTGGTAGCCTAAACTACCACCGCATGTGTGGATAATATCTACAAAGTCAGCGTCACTTTTATCTAAACTAAAATTTGGGCCCATTTCAGGCAATTCAAACAGAGGTCTCGCTGGGTCCAATCCTAAGAAAAATATTAAATTTTATATCTGAAATTGTGGTAAATTATATTTCTAATTTCTTCCATAAATAATTTTGGTTTTAAAACTACGAAACCGATTATGATAAACGAATATGAATCGTATACGAATATGATAAAATTTCTATGGAACTAGCTGTAAGAATCCTTTCAGATAAAAAAAGTATTTTCCAAATCGGTTTAGAATTGACATAGTTCTAAACCGATTTGGACTTTGATTGAGACTCAAAATATTTCATCAGTTTTCAATCAACCTTTCCCAGGAAAATTTTTCAGTTTCATTGATAGAACTTAAGAGGATGTTAAAAGCAAAACGTGCTTTAGGAGGCTTGTATACTAAGAGGCTAGAGAAGTATATGTATACTTAATCATCTACTTACAAGTAATAGGTAAATATAAGCTTATTATGTAATATAAAAAAATGATAAAGGACAACGAGATACATGATAAAACTACGGGTAAAAGACAGTAATTATTTATGTCGGCTTGACACACGTTTTGAAATCGGGTATGTCCGACTAGTTTCGACTCATTAGAGCCCTATTTTTAATCGCGGTTCACGGCTGTATAAAACAATACAGTATGACTTACGATAGTTATATTTCAATAGTTACCAGTAATTCGATATACACGTTCTTTAGAAAACATTCCTGCGTAACCCATAACATGAGCTCCTAAGCTATGGCCTATTAAATGTGTATTATTTTGCACTTGGTAAGAATTTCTGAAGGCATTTAATAATCTGGACAGTCTTCTCCCAACAAATCTGGTACATAAAGCAGGCCATGGATACATAGGATTAGCTGCCAAATCGCCCCAATCTACAAGTATGACGTTTAAATCTGCGATTTGTAACAATCTGTTTTTTATGTTTTGCACCCATTCCACTCCCGTATTCGATAACCAGCCGTGAGTTACTGCTTTGATGTCATTCGATTCATTAAAGTAAGTGCTGTTTATATGGTCATCTTCATAATTTGCAAACAGTTCTTCGGCTTGATCCAAATTTTGTCTGAAAATTTGAGAAGGAAAATTAATAATATCAAAATTTTCATGGATAATTTAAAAATGATAATCCTTGCTTCCCGCTTCGGAGAGCACGTAGATATGTCCATCTGGTAAAGTATGTCTACTGAAGCCGGCCAAGAAACTTTGCACCAGAGGGCAGTACCAGTAGAATAATATTTTCCTTTGTACATTAGTATACCCACGACGTAATTCGACATGCACGTAGGCTTAATAGATATAAATATAACAGCTCGCCCGTAAACAGAAAATATCAACGAAAATGGAATATTCAATTATTTTTATCACTTATAATTAATAATCTAAATATAAGCTATAGCTTATTAATATAATACTAGATGATATCTGTACATGGCAGATATTTAAGAAAAATTAATATGAGGGTTCTTAATAAGAGTCAAAACAGTAACTTTTAGGAAATTTTATCTGTCTCTCTATACGTTTGTTCTGATATGCAAAAACTCTACTCTACTAAATTGGATGCGGTTTTTATAGTTGTTTCCCCGAAGGTTTAATTTACTTATATTTGATCGTAATGTTTCATTTAGAAGTGGCCTATTTCATTATTATCCTACTTCTGAAATCTATGCCTAGCCACAGACCACACGCCACGAAGCAGTGGGCAAAACACTAGTCATAAATATTATTTATTATCGTTCACAAATTTTAAGCATATCTATCTGCTGTGCTACTTTGTTTAGAATACTTTTTGCCTACAGTTTTTACATTATTGGTGGTACTTATTAGAAATTTGAAAAGTCTTTAGTTGAAATGCGTGTATTACAATCACAACTGTACTTTGTGATGTACATGGTGTTTATGTCTATTGAATGGCGCTGACCATTTTCCATTAAGTAGACTGTCAACTTCTTTGCCATTAATTTCATATTACATAAAAAGACGTGGTTAAAGTACAAATGAGTTCATCATTATTGGACTCCAGTATGTTTACTTACCTGGTATATAAATAGAAGTGCGGTTTTCCGTAAATTAGTCCTCTGCGTTCAGGTGGCAATGATGAGAAATTCATTATGTGTGTGGTTCCATTATCGTCTACGAAATAGAGCCATTCATCCCCGTAATCCGATCCGTAATCTGACCCATTTTCGGCTTCACAAATTTTAAGTGTACACACGTACATAACTAAAAAGTGTTACAAAATATAATTAAACATTAAAATATACCTAAAGATTTGTTATATTAAGAATTTGGGTAGGCTTTGTGGTATAGGTACTATCCCAATTTATAGATTGTGGTCGGCTCTAAAAAGTTGGTATGTCAATTAAAATTTTCAACTCTTCGGTGATGGAATATACCGATATCAAATCAAATTAATCCGAGGTATTGTGTGGTAAGTTTGTCTTCTGCCATATTAGATACTAATAAATATGCTCGGTGAAATGTGGGAATGTCAAGTGTAACATTTACCACAAGGGTAACTGTCAACAAAAGCCTCTGACTATTCTATTAGGGATGACCGTCATGAGCATTAAATATAATATTATTCATTTTGCACATGTCGTAAGGTGTCTATGTATATATATGGTTACCTGTAAAAGTCTAAAGAATAAAAAAACTACCATTCGCTGTGCGTACGATGATACGATAATCGTGAAAAAATACAGAATGAAAATGTACGTGTGTCGTATGGATGTGTTTTTAACTGTTTGAGCCTCCAGCTCTCAAAAAAAGATGTTTGTATAGTGTTGACTAATATAGTGGATGAACATTAATATGATGATTATACCCGGGTGCAAAATTGCAAATTATCAGAATTTTATGTTCTAAAATGTAAAGGATCATGTAGCTACCGAAGCAAATAATATTTATTTTCTTCAGGGGCATCTTATCCGTGCCACACTAAACGATGAATTGCCGTCAAGTCGCAAAAAGCCGCAAGTTATTTGTTCTACTGTGGTATTATGTGCCATCGTACTTACCACGTGTAGATAGACAGAACAACCGGTTTATTAGTACTAGGTATAATGTTTCCGGTCTATTTTAGGGCATTATCTTCATGTTTCATGTTATAACACTCGTACATAATTTGGGTATCAAAGACATATTGTCTTAGATACGGCTGCCTATCACCTGTTAAGTACTTAGGTCTTTTTTTGTGTGTATAATCTATTGTGAATATACTATGCATTTATATTCTGAATATATAACTAAAGATAATTTAGGGTGTGATAGAATACAATAATTTTAAGCGATTTCAATAATGAAGAGGTTTTTAATTATTTGCATGTATATTTTGTGTATCTTTCGTTATCTTCATGAACTAAAACTTTGCAGATATATTTTGGGAATTTACAGGTTGAACCTTTAGTTATATAATATAACATGACCATATCTATAAACCATAATATAACATGAGTTTGATGATTCTTTTTGCGATAATAGAGATTACTTAGTTTAGTAATAAATATATTATTCACTTCCGCGTTGATATCATACTTTGTCACGACAATAGTAAAGGTTTTTGCGGAGAAAATTTTAAAACAATAAGTATATCCAGCAATATATACGATACTTGATATGACAATAGATACGATACTTAGCAAATACCTTTATTTTGCGGTTTTGTCCGTGGTCGCAGAAATCAGCTATTATATGCAAAAGAATGTCTCAAATCTGACTGGTAGTATGAGATTAGTGCGTTCAAACAAACAAATTTCTCGCTTTATTAGACTACTTTTTTGTCTGGTAATTCGTACTCGTGAATTTTAGACATAGGAAAAACAATGATATTAACCACTATTGATGATATGATATTAAATGGGACATCAGATACTTTTTTTTAAGCTAGACCGTTACTGTGAAAACCGGATCCAATTTAGTGTGGTAGTTTTTGCATGATGCCGAAACAAATATACAAATAGATAGACAAGAATTTATATATAAATTTTTCTAGTTAGAATTTCATTGTAATAGTAAGATTGGTTAATCATTATCAGCCCTTAATGGCCTACTGCTGAACATAAGCCTCTCCCTTGTGGAGTTTAGCCAGTATTTGTCATGTTTGGCAGGCGGATTGGCAACTGCAGTTAGGCTTTGAAGATATTTTAAAAGGGACGCTGCTGCCCTCCCTTAGTCGCCTCTTACGATACCCACGGGAAAGGAAGGAGTGGCCTATTTTATGCCGTGACCACACGGACAAGATTTATTAATGGACTTAATGAATTTTAGTACCTACTATGGTTGTCGGTTTAGAAAATTGTTTTCATTTCATTGAGAATTCTTCTTTAGAGTGAGTAAGATGCTTACCTCATAGCGACTCGCTTCCATTTCGGATCAGAATTATTATTATTATTCGATTGATATCAATTTCTTTTAATTGAATGAAGCTGTTAGTGTTTGCGATTAGGTATTTTTTATTGATACCTAATTATACCTATACTCTAGGTCTAACCTGAAGTCAAAACTTATTTATTCTCAAGAATAGTAATACATAAGTAAAGAATATTTGTCTTGTTTTTCCCTGTATTGTATAATGCAAATATACTTATTCATTCATTCATTCATAAAGCGTAGGTTACCTATCAATCTACTATGGATGTCTATGTGTACACTGTGTTGTTGGTCATATTTAGATACAGGCGACTATTACGACTTTTTAAATAATGGGCTTTGGGCTGTAATCTTGTTTACCATTACAACTTATATGTGTGCCACAAAAAAAGTAGACTTTTATTGTAGCAAAACCAGTTATTTTCTTTAAAACATTAGTGTACTGATTTTGATAAAAGTTCTATGAGATCAATCAGAAAGTACATTTATCCTTTGAGGTAACAAACATAAAAAATACAATCGAATTTAAAATCTCTTCCTTTTTTGAAGTCGGTTAAAAAAGCAGAAAATAAGCACTGCTCGATTTTATTTCTACATAATGAGATGTAGTTTCATTTTATTATTACACTTTTCGTGATTAACTTATAAACATCAGTTCGGCTGATCCGGCATTTTATCTTTATAAATGTATATTTATGAGATTTTTAACAATAAAAAGGTTCAGCTTTTTTGTTCGTAGAAATAGAAGCAGTCGATGGAAAGTATTATGAAAATAATACTACAGTATAATCATAGCAACGTTATTGTATTTTTATTTTTTTTGAATTGAATCCTTTTTGTGCTTACACAGTAAACACATGATCTCAACACTTACAACTAAAAATATTCTAAAAAATGAAAGTAATCAGATATTTCGTATTATAAAATTGTGGCTTGTGCATTTTTGTTTCCAATTGAGGCAAACTTATTGTGGAGTTATTGGAAAGTGCTCAGTATGATATTTTGAATATTGGAGTATTTATCAATTATTGTGCTGAGATATTGTGCAGGATGCGTCGAGTTAAGATTCGGGTGCTCCTGTTTCACCGCATTACACAAGCATATCTGCCAATGTGCACATAATTTTGTTTACTTACTTCCCTTTATACAAACTGATACAATACGATTTAGTTAACATTAATCTAATATATTGCTATCTTTTTCATTTTAGTCTATAGAAAATGTCGAATGACTTTAGGCTATGTTTCGAAATGCTATTATTCTCATAATTCTTTTGTATTTTATGAAATAAATGACGATAAAAAGTTATTTGTGTTTAGAGGTACTGTTTAGTGCTCCGACAGCTTTCATACCAATACATAGTTTTACTATAAATAAGTAATCTTGGTTAATACCAAGTTATAAAGTAGATAGATGCTTCTTGAACAATAAGGATGCGCTTTACGTCTAAGGTTATTTTAAGTATGTAAAAGGAAGGACAATTTTATAATGGAAAAGACTAGATATCACATGGTTTGAGCTATATATATATATATATTACTTTTGTCTCTTCATTCTTGTATGTAGATACATACGATCCGTACGAGACGAAAATAGAACCAATAACAAGATATACAGGGTGAAATCGAAATTGTTAGCAATCTGTGAAGTGAGGGAGAAAAGGCTACCAGCGAAATTGAACATTTTCATGAAGTTGGAAAAACGATAAAAAAATTTAAGCCTCTCATAATAACATGGCATGTTCAGCTGTTGAGTTAGTATGGGAGACATAGATTTTTTTGTCGTTTCAAAATTTTCGTTTTCGAAATTTCTCTCTTAATATGTTCTACGGCATGGGTAGATTCTTAATGTTACGTATCGCTAACGATTACGATAAATCACCTGTATAGTAACCGATCTCATATAACGTAATTGTCAATGATGTGTAAATCTTATTTTTTTAAATAAGAAATGAATTTTGGACATATAAAATGTACGCAAAATATCCAATTTTACTGTGTATCTACATATTCCGTGCGATAGCTGTGCAATCGCTTGAAAATACATCCAAACAAACGATCTGTATTTACAGTAGATATAGTCTAGCACGAAAACGTTTTAAGAAGTTTATATAATTCTTTAACGTAATTCAGAAAAAATGAAGATACTATGTTTTGTGCATAATTATTATCGGCCTATAGTTAGGTATATGTACTAAATGTAGACGCATTTGTTCCCATGTCCTGGGGCTAAACTACTTTCATGCTAATGGTTTTATTTACCAGTCCTTGAGAACGCTGGTGACGATACTGGAGCCATGCTTACTTATATGTACGTAATCTGCTTGGCACCGAGTGTCAAAGCAGTTAGCAACACAATTTTATTTTGACCTACGCTCAAGCATAAATTCGTATTACATGATCGTGTTTCAAAATTTATTTATACTGATACATTACACAGTTGGTCAGTCGAAAAAATTGAGCATGTTTTGACATAATCATAAATTTACTGAACCGTGGCTAATTTATTGCACAAACCGTCGACCCTAATATTCTAATGTGTATCACTATGGCTGGAGTTAACTAGAGAACATGTTAGAAAATAATGGAAACAAACATCTACCGTGTGTCGTTATACGTATCTTAATCTAGTTAGATCGTCGTCGGCAGTGAACTAAATGATGCGCTCGTTCGCTGTCCTAGACTTAACGTGATACGGCGGCTCGCAGCGCGCGGCCGGGCCCAGTCGCGGCGGGCAGGCGCTCCCAATCCATGCACGCACATACGTAACTACACCTTATCATACCTACCTATCTATTTGTTATTAATAATTTATTTCAATTTCATTAAAGCGTACATTTTTATACTTATTTCTTAGGAGGTCCTTAAAAACAATATTTCATTATTAGAGATGACCTGTTTCACAAGTGACGCATACAAAATAGTGCAACGTGCATGCAAGGAGATATCGAAGAGCACGTCCGAGGCGATAAATAAACCTAATAACAAATGTAATACCTACTAAACAGTCTTTTCTTTGACTGGTCATCTATTAGGTGGGATCGCTCCAGGAACCGAGAGACGAATTACGTTCATTTTGACAAATAATGTATGATATATTGAATGCCTCTGTCCAACTTTCAACACGACTCGCTGAAACTTATATAACTTCAGTCGACATAGTAGGTACTGATCAGGCAGAACAAGTACCCAAGTACAAAACAATTGACTGAACTTTTGTGTACGTACTTTGGGCATCGACACGAGCCATTCGTTTGGTTCTATAATTAGAAGTATGTATAACAATAAAAAATATAAAAACATTAAATTAATTAGCAAGAAATGGCGACAGTGTCTAGTGCCTCACAAGTACTGGCAAAAAGTTCAAGAGAACCTCAATCATACATACAATTACTAAATAAATAAGTGTATAGATAATACCTAATATGTTTTTACATATTTACAGTTTTTAAATTAAATAATGTAGGTACATAAACAATAATAAAATTAATAAATTTGTACTTGTAAAATAAACGATTGAAAATATCAAACAATTCAGTTTTTATGCCTTGTTTTGATCTACATTAAATCTAGTATCTACTTATGATTATTTTGTTGTATATTATATATAAATGAGTATACGGAGCCGACACGCGACGTCGCGCCCTTGTTTTACCTCTCACACTTATCTATTTAGACATTCGCTCGGTCACATCGTCGTGGGCCGGCTGCGGGTACTCTTTTTAATAAATCGTTATTCGTAATTAGTTACAATAATAACTACAATATAATGTTGGTATGAGCGGTGTCGTGGATGCTCCCCCACTCATACCTAAAGCGTTTAGGTGAACGTGTTCCTTCGTACTGCCTGCCCACCGTACAATTATTTTTACGCAACGAGAACTATGCTTTATAGTTATTATACATCACAACATAAGTTAGCCATGGCACGCGTCTCCACCTTATTACTCAGATTAATACGTTACGATACGTTCTTTAATGTTTCGTTGTTGATTTATCTATAGTGAAACTTTTTCAAACATATTTTGTATTTGAAAATATTTCTTTCTTATACTTTGTGCATCTACTAATTATAAAATGCTGTGTTATGAAAAATTAGACAAAGAACATCATAGATATATCCTATAACACCCAGGTTCAATCCCTAAATTCTCCCGACCGAGAATTGTACTTTGGATTTTATTAATCTACGCGTAGTAATATGCCTTATATAGCGCTACGTTGTTTGTTACTTATTCATAATAGTGCCAACTAAATCAATTTTTATGGATATAAGCACTTTTAAATTTATGTTAACCATGTTAATTGACACAATTATATCAGAAGGAGTACAGGCAGTGCGAATACGAAACGTCACAGCATCCACTTTATATACGTACATTATTACAGTCATATATCTTTACGTGACCGACATCATCATTTCTAAATAACCTATTATATATGGGCCATCGACGCCATTCGCAGCGTCAGTGACCAAGGTGGGATTTTTTATTAACACTACTTAAAGAGTGAACGTATCATTTCATATCTACCTCGGAATATTGCCTTCGTTTAGCTGATTCCAGGCCGAACAATATGTAAACCTTGTCGAGAGGCATTACTACCAGTAGATTAGATTAACCTCCTCGTGCCCATCGTTTTACAATTTGCTAGGCGGAGGTTTGCTGATAATAAAGCCAAATTATCTATTCGAACATGTACTAGTATACTCGAATGAAATTTAAAAGTTTGTTGCTACTTTATAGAGAGATCAAGCGAAGTTCATAAAGGTCGTAATCTCCTCTGAACACATCTCTATATTATTGTTTTTGGATTCTGTAACTGTGATAGTAGGTATCCATATATATTTATCTACCATCTGCATTCAATGGAGATGACAATCCTAATTAGAACTGGGATTCGGTGGGGTAAGAGCGTACTTCAATACAATGGTGCTTCAGCATACAGTTTCGGCGGGTGGCGAGGTGGGAGACAGCGGTAGCGGTACCAGCGACATCGGTGGCGGACCCAACGGCTCCGGTGATCGTCGTCGAAGTGCTTGCCGCTTGCGAAACTCCAAGAATTCCTCTTTCATGGCCCGAACCCGCGCTTCTACGTCGTCGCGAGATGGTCGTGCCCTCGGTCGCTCTGGCGTCGAAGGCGTAGGCGTACGAGTTGCGCGATCCCACTCATAATGCACATCCACTGAGCCCGCGTCCACGGCTTCGCCGGAGCCGGGCCGCGGAAGCGGTGCTGGCGGCGGCGGTCGGTATGGCGGCGGTCTCCACTCCGCCAGACTGCCTGTGCGACTGCTGCGGTTATGCTGCGACGACGACGCGTTCTTGCTGCCGAAGCCGCTCGACGAGCTGCGACTCTCGGGCGAGGCCTCGTGCGGTGGTGGCGGTAGCTCTGAGATGGTCCGCGGTCGAGTGTGACGCGGTAACGGGCGCGCTCTGGGCCGCGCTAAATTGCTCGACCGGGCCATGGGCTCTAGGCGCATCGCTCGTAGTCTAAACGGTGACGGGGGAGTCGGGAAAGATCCATCCGCCGAGCTTGGGAAAGGCACAGAGCTAAGATCTGACACATGTAGTGGTGACCATGGAGTCCACGCCGCCGCCCACGGTGGCCACGGCGGCCAGGGCGGCCAATGCAGAGCGAGCGCAGGTGACGACGCTCGGAAAAGCGGCGGCGCGGCGGAAGGCCGTAGCGGCGCTCGAAGCCGCGGCAAGAAGCCGCCGTCGTCGGAGGAGGAGGGCGCGAGCGAGGGCGCGGGCGAGGCGGAGGCGGTGGAGGGCGGGGAGGGCGGGGAGGGCGCGAGCGACACGCGCCCCGCCGAGCTCCAGTAGTGCGCCTCGCCACCGCACCGCGACGCAGGCCACACCCAATTTGCAGTGAATCGTAAGCACTGTACTATACTCGATATTCCGCGTTCTCTAAATCTGTCAACATACATATTAGCGATTTAAGTTTTGTACAGATAAATGCATTTAAAAAAATATGGTCGAAGCACCATGTGTGTCGCCGGAAAAAAAAATCCTTGGGATGCAGCATTATGTTTTTCATGCAGATTTGACGAATGAATTTCTAGTTTTAATCAATATTACATTTACAAGGATAGATAAGGATAAAGAGCTGTACCATTTTTGCATCTGACTGGCACCTATATGGAATATATGTAGGTATACGAGTATATTTACAAACTCGAACTAACCTGATTTCCTATTAAGCAGCGTGAACAAAAATGTATTCATGTTATTTATTGCTATCGTAAAATTATGTTACCTAATTATGACCACAACATATAAAACTGATACTCACTTCTTAAAAGGCACTTGAGTGCTGTCAGCGGCGCGGAGATCTGTCAGTCGCGCGGCTACCATGTTGTATGCTGCAATCGAATAATTTCTAAATATTAACGCAGTGCAACCTGTATCAGGATTCTGCAGTAAGCGCGACCGCCACCCGCCACCAGACATACAGCACCCCTTCACCTTTACCACTCACCATATTGTCAACTTGAATACTACCACTCACCGGATTGGAGACATAATTACAATACTCAACCATTAGTATTACTCAGAGCTTTTTGTAATGTCAAAAGAAAGAGTTTATTTTTAATATTCATTGAAACAAGATGATTTTTTTTTTTTAAATTATGGTCCATTCCAGAAAGTAATAGCCACACAATGAATAACAGCGCGAATGATAGCAAAATAATAGTAATAATAAAATTGGTGGAAATCTTTGTCTGATCAATTATTCATAATTAAGAGATGCGAAGCAAAGGTGTAAGCACCACATTGACACATTGAACGGTGAAGCTCTTGCGTACATAGATTGTATGATATGATACGTAGCTACCAAGAGAAAGCTAAAGTGCCTTAAAACTCACATCTAATGATAATTATATTATGTCTAAGTAGTAATTAAAAATCATTAGTATAGCGTTGTTGATAAATTATAAGTAATATTGCAGTAAATTATAATTTGCTTGACTGACGTAAATAGAATAACAAGTAGAAATTATGGGTGTAGTTTAGTAACAAGCATTTTGTGTTACAATGAGGTGGTATGAAGCATAACATTATTAACAATGATTTAGTATTGCAACCTATGTTACAAACTTTTTTTTTACAATTGTACTATTATGTAAGTGTAAAATATATGTTAAACTTTGTTTATTTACTAATATTACTTATATTTAACAAGTAACATTTTTTAACAATTCAAGTAATTATTTAGTTTTTGTAACTGCAAAATTATAACGAGAATTGCTCTTATGCAATGTACTTTAAAAACATATTCTAATAAGAATATCTCTAATAACAGAAGTACCTCTAAGATTAGGTACTATTTAGAAACATAAAAATATAAAAATAAATTTTATTATAATTAGTAACAGATACTGCATTTTTTAACAGTCCTTATTTATGAGATAAAAGATAAAATTATAGGAGATGATTATATACATGGTGAATGCATAGCCGTATGTTATGAAAATAAATAATTGCATGCAAAGGCCCATAAATTAATGATGCTATATTATGTTTAAATAAAATAATGATGGACGATAATGGCTAAAGGAAAATAATGTCAGCAGATGGGCTTCGTCACCGACAATATGGTAAGTAACGCTTTTCGCCTTGCGTCCGCTATAACAATAATAACATTCCTGCCCAGGAATTGCCTAGGCGTCGCTTATTATGATGGTTGTGCTTCTAGTAAATGGTGTTTATCAATGGATAAAAAATAATCAGAATCGATACTTTCGAGTAGTGTTTTTCAAACTTTTTGGCGTAACATCCTTAGTTTATAAAATACTTTGCGAATTCCTACCCTCTTCGCTTCTTAATCTGTGTGTATTTTATTATATAACAAATATCAAATCCGTACATTTTTATTTATTTTCATAATCATCTAAATTTAGAAAATCAATTTAATTATTAATATAATAATGTACGAAAACAGACGCACACTTCACGTTATTGTGACTAATGGTTATTTTTATTTTATTTTGTTAATTTGTGTTAGCATTTCTACAACGTTTTTGAACAAAGATATCTGTTTGAACGTTATTTTTTTAACGACTTCCGCAATCCCCTTAAACCGCACTTTAAAAAAACACTATTTTTAAATATTGAAATATAAAATATATTATATTATACTATATATAAAATATATAGATTTATATGTTTATGTACCTAAGTACGAACTTCATGTTTCTTTTCTATGGTTATAATTTTCCTAATTACACAAAATTTCTATGATAAACACCATTATTTACTAAATAGCTTTAATCATCGTTAAGCGAGCCACGGGAGCGGGCGACGGCCACCTCTCCCATACCGGTCTCACCTTTCTCCTGCTTACGACGTTTTCGCTTATTGCATATCTTGACAGCACACACGGATAGTATGATAGCGACAATGAAGAACAGTATGCCGCCGACCACGCCTGCTGTGATGGCTTTGTGCTTTACCCTCGCCGGCACCGGGAACTTCACCTCATCGGAGCTTTCGTAGCTGGTTGCTGAGTTTGCCAATACGCGGAAATAATAAGTTCGGCCGCCCACCAAATTCTTGACTGGAATAAATAAATATACGTTTGAATTATAACTATCGTGAGTCTTATTGTATTTCTTGCGATACAGTCGTGAATCGCGCATATGAGTAAGGGCCCATATTGATTTCGAAACTAGTTGGCCATTTCCGAATTTAAAACGTGACAGCGTAAAAGCCAACATTTGTAATTACCAAATATGATTTTATTGTTTTTTCTCTGTTTCCCTATTGTTAGAATTATCACTGTGATTTCGATAGAAAAACTAAACTGGAAGTAGCCTAGAACATTTTCGTTTTTGTTCGTAATATATATATATATATATATTATATATATATATATATATATATATATATATATATATATATATATATATATATATATATATATATATATATATATATATATATATATATATATATATATATATATATATATATATATATATATATAGACTTTACTACCGATAAGGATCAGTTTAGAAAGACGAAATGGCGTGTGAACAAATTAATTTGTTCATATAAATGTTGGTCGATTTTAGTATAGCTATAATTGAAATTAATACGTCTCCAAACTCTAACTGCGATTGCCAATCCGTCTACCAAGCGTGGCAACTACTGGCAAAACCCTCAAGGGGCTGGGTTATGTTCAGCAGTGGGCAGTTAAAGGCTGATATAATGATGATGATAATTGAAATTGGTAAAACAAAACGGCGGCTCTAAATTCAGTCACGGAGACATCGTATGATTTAATGCTTTCGCTGCCGCTTTATCGGTTTGACTCTTAATAAATTACACCTTTTCATCGTTTTAATAGGCTCGTGTGTCATACCAAGGTAACTGGTTTCTTCGGGACGTATTTGTCCTCTGTTAAGGGTCTTCCACTGCGCGTCGGTGCGGTATTTGATTGTGTAGTACTGCACAAGTTGTGCCCGTTCGAGGGGTGCTTGCCACGTTATCAAAAATCCATTGTGCACCTCTGTCACAGTTAAATTGCGTGGCGGACCGGATTTTGGACCTAAAATAAAATAATTATTTTAGCATTGCAATCATTATAAGCCTACGCAGACGATAGACAATCCGCGTGTATTTTTGTCCGCTATAAAGATTATATGGCATACTAAAATATACACGTAGACACATGGTGTTAGAACGTGGATGACATAAAAGACAATTTTGCCTTCGCGGTCTAAATGCCCCTCGTCTGCAAGGCCTTAACATTATTAAGAGTAATGCAAAAATTATAATAAGCAAAATAAATTGAAAATTATTGTTTTAATTGTATTAATATGTAATACTTATACATTGCGCTGCCTACAATGATATTTACTAAATAGTTTGTTAAAAATACTTACTTTATCGTGAATATGATTATAAAATCTACAGTAGCGATATCATTATAGCGATAATTTTTATTTAGATTATCTCACAACAGCTATGTACAGAATTATGCGAAACACCTTTTTAAATTACATGAGAGAAAATATTAGCAAAATAAGGTAAAGGACATGAAAGGACATGCAAAACAATGATGATGACTCAGAGTGACTAAACACAATGGTTACCCATGTGATGTTAGTAAGCTAGTGTAGCTATAACTAGAAACAATATATATATATACTTAGGTATAGAGTATGTGCAATGTGAGTTTATACCAGAACCTTCGGGTGGGATCGGAAATATCTTATCGTCCACGGGTCCCGCCGGGGTGGGCGGTACCTTCGGCTTCGCGCCTACATCTACAAAAGGCAACGTTACGTTAACACTGAATGAAAGCTTCAGTATTTAATAGAACACTTTACCTTGTATTTGGTAATATAAATGTTTTTGGTTATTTATAGTAACAAATAGAGACGTGGATGCCCTTTGTAATTATTTATTGTATTCTTACAAGTATACAATTAGGTACATTTTTTAAATTATGTACACACATTACAGTATATTTTGCAACTAAGTGGTTCATAAGAAAATATATCCTTTTTATACTTTGAAGTTAGTATTTGACAAAATTGTTAGTATGTCTGAAATGTACACTCACTGTAATTTAAGTAATTTTGTAATAATTTATACAGCGATCATGTATTTGCATTGGACATGGGATAATATTATTATAATGAGGATTTCTATATTGATGCTTCCACAAAGAAAATATGTAGTAGAATTTAGAAAGAAAAGACCTGTATTCAAACTGTATTAGTTAACAAATTAACCGACCATCACCGATGCATAATGTTTACACTCGTAATTAAAAACAAACCCACCTAATGTTCTTATTGTGATTGCCTTGCTCATCATTCCTTCACCTATAGTATTCTTACTGTTCACTTGAAATTCGTATGTAGTACCCGGTTGAAGACGATTTATTGTTACCTGGAAATTATAAATACCATAGTGATTAAAATATAATCATCTACAACATATATAATAGTCATATGATAGGCATGTAATGGTAATCAATAAACAGGAAATTCCTATGTTAATTTTTAGGTTTATGTTAATTCGCAGCTCTCAAATGAGATATATTTAAACATTGTGTCAAAAAAAATCCCACTTGAAATGACAAAACCAGTTATTTTAATATAAAAATTAAATACTGAACTGCTTGTGATAAAAATTCTATGGAACCAATCTGTAAGTATATCCTTTCAGATAAGAAAACAATTTTTCTAATTGCTTCAGAACTAACAAAGTAAGTTTTATAGTAAATATGCTTAATACTAAGGATAGAAAATAATGACTAACAGAAGTAGCACCAGAGGGCGTAACGGGTACTTTGGTCCACTCGGAGAAGCCAGCCTCCCTGTACCATATAGTGTAGTCCTGCTTGTAGTCGGGCCCGCCCGCGTACCCCGGCTGCCAGCGTAGTGTCACCTGGAACTCTGTTGCGGTTCCGGACACGTTGTACGGCGCATGCGGTTGCGTGCCTTCTATCACTAGCTGCGTGTCCGCCACTATCGTTGCCACCTGTCAAACACAAATTAAACTCTGCAATATGCAATTCAATAGAACTTAATCGAAATGTAAACAAACAAACAATTGACCGGGCCATAAGACAGCCTGCTGAAGTCCAACGAGTAGAACAAATAAAAAATCGATTATCATCATCCTCATCTTCCTACCCTTATCCCAATTGTTATTTGGGGTTGGCGTAATATGTTTTTCTCTTCCATTCTTCTCTATTCACCTAAAAAATCGATTGTGATTGAATATTCCGATTTATCTCTAATTTCATTACGAGAATGTTTCTGTGATAAATTCAACAAAACTCGGTTACCTTTTTATTACGTTCTACTGAAAGATATACCTAATTTATTTATATACATTTATTTACAATTATTAATACATTTTAAAATCCCCCTTGTGGTCCTGACATAGAATAGGCCATCTTTCTATCCCATGGGTGTCGTAAGTCGCCTCTTACAGTCGCCTCAGGGATGGGAGGTACTTAAAGGATGACGAGGGATGGACAGCAGCGTCGCGAAACATCTTCAAACCCTAACTGCGGTTGCCAATTTGACTGCCAAGCGTGGCAACGGTGGGCAGCTAAAGGCAAATATGATGATGATGGTGACATTCTAAAATATTTTGGACTGGAGTCGATTTAGCTATTATCTTAAACTCAATTAGATGTTTTGGATACTTGTTTGGTCTGCGTCTTCCGAAATTAGACCTTGACATTGGAATCCACTCTAGCGAATATGCGAATCGAGGGTGATGCGGTAGTTCACAAAGGTAATGGTTACGCGAAACGGATGTTGCTACAGTTCAGTGAACTAAATATTACAGTAAACAAACATGAAAAGAAAAAAAACAAAAATAGAATTATTAATGATAAATTATAAATGTAAATAGATGTAAATCTCTATAATTATTTAAAATATATAGGTACCTGTTATAAAATATTTGAAATAAGTAATAATATAAGAAATAATTATTTTAGTAAATTTCGACCACTTAAGCTCAGTCCCAAAATACATGAATATGATGGAAATAACCAATATTTCTCCTCAGAGTAGCATCTCTTAAAAGGTGGTTATGTACACAGAAATTACTTAATGTTTATTGTTAGTACTTGAACAATACAATAAATAATTGTCACTTTCTACCAGAATGCTCTTTAGCTTGTTTATGATTCTCAGTATCATCATCTTTTTTTTATATACAACTTAGAACGGCAAACAAGTTGACGGCCCACCTGATGGAAAGTGGTAACCGTCGCCTATAGACATAAGCAGTACCATGGACATAACAGAGAATATACTGTTTCTCCCATGATACCTCCCATGCGTTGCCATTCCTGAGGACTCAGGTGTTATTCCTCCGTACCCAGTAAATTCACGCCATATCCCACCCTTCAAACCGAAACACAGCCATGCAAACACAACTGCTTTACGGTTGAAACACGAATGGGACAGAGGTACCCAAGCAAACGACTTTTGTACAAAGTTTCCCTCATCTTCCTACCCTTATCCAAATTATTATTTAGGGTCGATGTAATATTTTTTTTATCCATATTACAAAAAAAAATTGGCTTATAGTTTTACGACCGGCCGCCTGCCTGACGTCAAACCTCCTTGGGATTTTTTTATTATTCTCGGTATGTATAAATAAAAATTTATTGTCTATCGTTCTAGAACTTATCAGTGGTTCTAGTTCCACTACGCGTAATTTTTCCTTACCTCATTGGAGGCGACACACTGGTAAATGCCGAAGTCTTGTCTTCGCAGCGTGTCGATGGTGATGTTACCAGCGAGCGCCCGTACCCTGCTTTTTTGCAGTGGAAGCCCGTCGCGCCGCCGCCACGTCACACTGGGCCGCTGCGTGCCTTCCGCCTCTTGCGCTTCGCAGTGCATCTCCACTGACTCCCCCACCTCAATATACAAGTAATTTTTGAAATTCTCCACCTTGTAATAGCTCTATTTGATAATTCAGGAATTAATTAAGCAATACACAAAATAAAAGTGCTTCTAATTTTAAATGGATTGTTACGGCTAATCGTATCATCGGCTCAACGTAAGGTTTCAGTTATTCTGTAATCCATACAGTGATTTCATTCTTAAAATAGATTTTTATTAATTACTTACATTTTGTTACTTTTAATAAAAAAAAGTATTTAAAATATTATTCACATGATAAATTGTATCGCGTATTTATTTAAAATGTGTCAGTATGCAAACTGATGATCTAACTTGGATGCGATGTGAAATGAAGTACATATAACAACAAGTTCTGTTCCTCGTTTCTCATCGCAGCCAAGTTTATTTGAAAATATAACCCAAAATAAAATACATAAAATAATAATACGCCTAACATACCTTCCTTTGGTATAATGGTTCCGGCTCCACTGTAAATACTGGAGGTTTGCGTACGAGCACTTCCATGGGTCCTGTGTTAATAAAATTACAATTCATTAAAATTAACTGTAATGAGATTTTTTGATAGATGATCATTATACTGACGACAATTGCAGTACAATTACTTTAAATAATATAATTTTACTGATAACTCGTCACATAAGTTTACTTAACAGTTAATGAATCGTCCATACCTGAAGATCCCTGTGTACCCTGCGCGTTGTATGGCGTACAGGTATACCGACCCTGGTGGTTCTGATTGACTCGGGTGAACAGTAGAGAGCCATTATTCATAATCACTATATCTTTAGTCTGATACGGTTCTAGCAGTCTTTTATCTTTTGTCCATGTGACGTACTGAAGAGGAGGGTTCGCTTTTATGTAACATTGCACGACGCCTGCTAGACGGAACGGCAAATATTGCACAGTTGGTGTGAACGTCACTTTTGCGGGATCTGTAGAATAAAAAAAAATCCTTTTTGTACACAGGCGGTTAGTAAATGTGACTTTTCTTATATTAATGGGAGTGGTAGCTACCCTCTATAAACACTAAAGTCCAAATACTCAGACAACTTAAGAAAAAATAAATGAGAATCTCACATTCAACATTTAAATATGCCGAAGCGCTCTGCGGATCTCCAATGCCATTAGAAACTTCACAGAGGTATTGTCCGGAGTCATCAGCGGCGACTGGGTTTATGACAAGTGCGCCATCTCTTCGAATAGTTACTCTTGTCTCAAGCGCCGCCACCTCGGCTACGGGTGCACCTTCACGGAACCATTTCACTGTTACGTTCCCGGGCAAGGCTTTAGCTTCACACGAGAACTGTACCTTTTCACCCTCTAATTTTGTTTGGTTGGTTGGAGGCATCTGAAATTAATTATTGAGTTACTTTTTGCCTTATCTTTCAATTCCATGCGGCAATGTATAGCGCTTAAATCCGATTACATGTTAAAACCTTACAGCGGCAGATATTACTCATGACTGAACAATCTATTACATTATGTTTAATTAAACAACTTCCAAGAAGCTTCGTTAGCTTTCGATTAACTTTTGTAATTTAAAAGTCTATCAGCATTTTTCACTTACAAATTAGAATAAAAAGGAACATACATACTCTTATGTCAAATTCATCAAATAAACACAATATAAAAATAAAATGAAAGTAACAATTAAAAATCATTAATAGATAAACATTTGTTATAATATGAGATATAACTGGAGTACTAACAGTGATAACAGCACCGCCGGCGATGATGACGCGTGCTGTGTGCGACACTTGCCCTTCACCGTTGCGCGCGATGCAAGTATAATCGCCGATATCCTCGTGACGAATGTTGCTGATGCGGAGTTCTGTGCCGTCATTGAAAATGCCCACTGTACCAGATGGTTCCACCGGATTCGCGTCTTTGTACCACAGGATTTCGGGCGTGGGTGTACCCTCCGCTTGGCAGTTGAGGATGATGGCATCTCCTGGAATTTGCTAGTTCTTATTCCGATTCCTATTTTGGGTTAGTGGAGTACAAATAAGGGTGTAATTATGTTAATAATATGTGCTGTTCTTCTAAAAGTATATATTTGTCTATGGGTTTACTGCGACTACGGCGCTTATGGAACTCCAAGTAAAGAGCAGTGGCGACTCGGCCGTCCAGACGCTGATCTCTACTTTGACTTAAAATATTGCAATGGTATGATAAAAGATACCAAGAAATTTCTATAAAATACAATCCGCTATCTTATTAAAGAAACCATTATAATTAGGGCTAACAAATGGTGGCTAACAAAAGCATCAATAACGTAGTTACACGTAAATATATTACTATTTTAAATCGTACCTAAATTAACGTATATAATGTCTTCCGGTGTGATGGAGAAGCGCGGTGGCGCGTGAACGTCCAGGTGGAACCAAGTGCCGTTCTTATGCTGGTTTGGTGAACGGTTGAGGAATACCACCTTACATTCGTACCAACCCTGTATAACAAAAGTATAAGCGATTTTTATGTTATTTTATGATATTTATGGCAATTACTTACATCTATTAAAATTTTCTTACAAATTTAAATTATGTTTGTTATAATAAAAAAAAGTTATTCTTATAAAATGAATATCTCAATTCGAATCTATATGTTACTAAATACAGATAGTGACCTATGCATAATTAGATTGCAGAGTATATGTAAAGATTCTAATAATTTGCAAAACAAATAAATTATACCTATAGAATGCTTGTTGTTATATACCTTATTTATTTTTTATTTATTTTAAGTATGCACTTTTACAGCGCTATTTGATCCCGAATAAAAATATTTATTTTCTGTTACAGTGGTTGTGAAACAAATCAGATAAAAGTTCAACTCACATAAAAACATTATCAAAGTTTTAAAATTCGCTGCTCTACGGAGATCAACAAGTTTGATCTAAATTGTTAGGATATTAATTTATAAGTGTCAATTTTTGTTTTGCTTAAATATTTATAATTTTAACCAGTCTCACCTGGTCGGATTCCCGAATATTGGTGAGATTGAGACTGGCAGCGCCGTAGGGCGAGTCGGGCGCGACACGCGACACCCTGCCTTCGTACCCCTCCCCGCTGTGCGTCGGATAGCTCTCGTACCAGATGTAGATCGGGATGTCCTGTCCCTACACACATTGTAACACCATTTACATGCCAGCGCAGTACTGGTGCGTTAACAGCTAGCACTTAACATTATCCAACTATGATGAAACTTACGTCTGGCGTGGTTATAAGTTCCGACTACGAGTAAGTATTTCCCTTCTCTACTAAACACAACATAATATGCATACAATGAGATAAAATCAAAAATTTATTTTATAACAGCACAAGTTTGAGTTCGTTGAAGTTTTAACTTTTGTTCAAAGAGTACAAGATTAAATCAAGTTTACCATTAATAATTTAGGTAATTTAAATTCAGAATAAAATTTATCGAGGAAAAGTATGTAGGTATGTAATTAAACTCAATTTTGCTGCTACAAAATAACAAAGGGCTACAATGCTACTGAAACATGCGAGGACTAAAATATGTTAATGACGTGTTTACTTCAAATAAATAATTAGTTGGGTATGGAATTTGAATACTGACTGTTTCTTGTCTACTCTGATAAGTACTCGTAGCAAATTGAATATTAAACGGTGGCCCGTTTCTAAAACCAAGGTTCAAATGGTTTTACAGTTTTAATGATTGGTATAGATTAAAAATATATATGAAACCTTGTTATTATGGACAGAGGTACACTTACATACTAACATGCAGAATGTGAAAACATGGATCTAAATGAAACTACAGGTACATGCTGTAAAATACATGAAATGTGCGAAATATTATTAAGACGTCACAATATATGTAGATCGTTTATCAAGTACTGGTACATGAATCTACGTTGGCAGATAGAGCGTGGGAGAAGCCCACAGCCACAGGAAGAGAGAAACAGACAGAACCGCCGCCAGTGCGCGAGGGAGTGCGCGTGCCCCGTGTCAGCCGTGTAAGCAAAAGTGCTCCCGATGCTATCTCCAAATAAACAATATAGTGCACCCAATAAAGAAAAAAATAATTATAATATTGGAAAATAAAAATCTTATCGTATTATGTAAAGTGGCAGTGTATGTGTATGTTCGTTATCTAACGGGGGTCTGCTGCTCTCTCGGACTCGCTTTGAAGGCCTTTGTCACTGTGGTGTACGTCGACCGGTCGGTTGGACGACGGGCGCGGTAGGTACACGAGGCAATACGCAGAAGAGGCAAAGTACACAAAAGGCGTGCGAAGAGCGCGCGTGGGGCGAGGGCTCTGGGGCGGAGCCCCCGGCCCGCGGCGCCCGCACTTTACCACTAAGCACGGGACAATAAGATGTGTCGTCGAGACGGCACGTCAACATATACTTTACAGTCTGCGAGGCGCGTCGCGGGGACGAGCCTTCCTCTACTGAACAGAAACACACACGGTAGATGAGCAGCGTTGTATTGTAAGAGTGGAGTGTGGACCGTCGTACCGTTTCGCCTACCTTCTTCTCCCACTGCAAGACGTACGGCACCGGGATGTCTTCGGGGAAGTCCACCTGACAGTTGAAGACGACGCTCTCGCCGAGGATCGCTGTGATGTGCACGGCATCTTGGTGGTCTTGGTGGCAGGTCACTGTTTGGTTTCCAATTCAAATTACTATATTTTTTTCTTTTTTTTTTATTATTAATACATTTTTATTTCTTATGGCATGTTATGGTTAGGTATGATGTTAACTTTAACTATAAGAGTGACATTATTTGGGTTTATATATAATAGAGAAATTGTATTATTCGTCCCTTTATAGATGTTCGCATTTTTATAATTTGCCGAAGATCAAATGACATTGTGCAAAATAATATATAATTCCAACATTCTCCATAATGTATCTATAATACATCTTTGTTTGCCACTTGTATAGGGGCAGAATAAAAAAAAATTGTGGTACCTGGTAGATTGACTAGCAGCAGCAGAAGCAAGCCGGCGGCGATGTGCGGCGGTTGCACGGCGCGCCAGCCCATGCCTGCGCTCCCATGTCACGGCCGCGCGCGGCGACTCATCGTTGATGCATCACCTATACAAAAATACACATTTTTTTGACACCGTAGAAACCTAGTATAGTCATTTAAGAAGGATAATATTTTGTAGTTTAGGAATTAGAATATTTACTAGATATTCTTACATACTTCAGTTTGTGATAGATGACAGATACGTGAGATTAGAAAACGATTATCGGTTCAGTGGTCTAGGTAAAAACAATAAAACTAAAATTTGTTTACAAAAAGTAATATAAAAGAAAGTGTGTTTCATATCGTTTTGTTATAATTATAATCCAAAATGAATATTTGTTATTTTTTCATGCAAAAACTACAGAATGGTTTTGAATAAAATTGTTATACCGCTAGATATAAACTGATTCGAGTGGGCAAAGTCGCGCAAGATATAGCTATTATTTAATAATGTTAAGATTTGCGGAAGAAAAGAAAATTGACGTTCGCCAAAACAGAAGCATGTTCTATAGAATACGACTTATTGTACTTACTTCTTAAAGTACTCGTATTAATATATAAAGCTACGGACGCAAAGAAACAATCTGAGATTTCAAGGTCTTTTTAACTACCAATCGAAATTAAATTAAGATTTTGGTAATTTTAGGTTAGTGGAGAATATTCCTTCTACTTACATATCCAAATATCTTAAAAGATTTCGTCGTTGTAAAGGATACAGCAAAATTTTGACTTTATATAAGTTCGGTTTACGTCTAAAAAGTAGGTGTTGTGAATACATAGATCGACGTGACTTTATTTGCTTGTTTCTGTCTGTGATATCTTATCATTCAAACAAATTCAAAACAGATTTTTTTTTATTTGAAAAATGGTTTAATATAAATGGTTTTTAACTATATTTGGTGAACATGTGACTTCACCTTTGCTGCACTTTGGAGACATTTTGACAATTTTCATAGTTTTTCCATAACTATATTGAGATTTTTTCTATTCGAATCAAACTAATCGATAAAATAATCAAATCAGTTATAATTAACCCAAAAATAAAACAGTTTGTTGAAATAATAAATTACGTTTTATTATTTTTTTTTTCATATAATTTTAATGACCTTTCACCCATACTATACGAGTATAACTTATAAAGGAACCTGTAGGATCGCAGGGAGCAGCTTAAATATAGCTAGAATATGAAGTTCAACTAGTTATTGACTAATGTTGATTGTTATAGTATAATATACTTCATTATCAAGTTATTGCCTAATGTAACAATTGCATGATATGAGTAGCAAATGTTTTGTTAGAGAAAGTAACAATGCGTGATAAATTGTATATGTCAAAGGTAAGTAAGGTAATGTTGTTTTATACAGATAGATATAAAATACCTAGCTTCGAAGGGGTGGGTGGCCTTTGAGGCAAGTTACGTCCTTGGACTATTTCCACCTACCGAGTAATTGCACTGCATCACGATATACAAATGACCTTCTGCCCCCACAAACCGACATAAGCTCTTACCTTTATGGCTGCCTAACGTAAGTACGCGGTACAGATTTAATGTAGGTACCTATGTAGTTATCGATTTGTGTACTTGGGGAGGTTAAAAAGCTACTTTACACGAATCGTAACTCAAAAGAGACAATGTATGGGTAGCAGTATGGGCATCACAGTGTATTCTGTTGTCTATTGTGCTGTTTATATCTGTAGACAACGGTTACTACGTTTCATCAGGTGGGCCGTTAACTTAGTCGCTATTCTAAGTTGCATAATTTTTTTTTTAACTGATTTATGTCGTATGCTCGTATAACTCGGCTAGTGATACTGTACTAGGCTTTTCATACTCCGGCCTCTAGGACGAGATTCCTATTAAAGGGAATATGGTGCAAATTCACTATTTTAACTTCTTGGTTTAAAATAGCCGCGAGGATTGTTGTGACGCTAATTTGGTGTTGCGAGTATAAGTAGTAGAATTTAGGAGTATGTACGATAGGATAATTTGAGTATTCTTTTTGAGTCTAGAGGGGCCTTTTATGTTTTTTATATAATAAGAGCATGAGCTCTAGATATTTTATAAATAACATCATCATCATCATTTCAGCCTATATAGCCAAATATAAATAATAACATATGAATAACAATCTATATATGCAGCAGTGGACGGTTAGCCGTTGATATAATGATGATGACGATTATGGCGTAATGCTTTACGTTGACGTTCAATTCATGAGTTTGAGGTCTAGTAGTTCAGTCTTGGCTGACAGTAAAAAATATCATCATCACCATTTCTTCCATTATTCGTCCACTGCTGGATATAAGCCTCCCCCACAGAATGGAGGGGTAAACATATATCAACTTTTAATTTTCCACTAATGGTATCAGACCATATATATAAAGCCTATTTAATATGAGAAATAGTGCTAGGTTCACACTACTACTAGACTAGATTCCTGCTGAATTCGATGCGGGTTTACTAAAATTCTTTAGCTATTTGGAATATTTATGAAGTTTAGGATGTTATACAGTATTAAGTAAAAAACAAATAAATCTAGAGCAATAATATGAAGCATTTATAAATATACCACCTTATATCCATTCTCGCAACAAGCATCGGAAAAGTCTTATTTACCGCTGGCGACAGAAGTAGATGTAATTTGATAATATTTTATATAAGATTAATGCTTTAACTGTTATGTTGTTAGCTCTAGTTCCCTTGATAACGTTATTTACTAATCCTTACTAATATTATAAATGTAATTATAAATGTTAGTGAACATATCCTGGTCACGCTAACGAAGTTGCGGGTTAGTGCGGGGAGTTAGTGTTTTAATAAAAAGAAAAGATATTTTCTCAGTTTGGATAATAATTATTGTCATTTCTATCTATAACTATTTTATGATTTCAATGACTCTACATTTTGATACATTAACGATATTTTGCCGTTGACTTGGTAATTATATTAAAGAAATGGTGTACGAATAAAGACACATTGATTTTAAAGGTACATCTTTATGGACCTTTGAATCTAGTCAATCAGTTGTTTTGTGTTAGGTTTGATTGGCGTTCTATAAGCCAATCGCAAATTGAGAAGGCCTGTGCATATATGTTCTTATTGTACTTCTTACTTGTGTTTTGGAGAAACTTTGACTGTGAATAGTAGCAGTATCCAGCTCCATTTATGTAAAAAAAGAAGGAGTAAAACCTACTGATATTTAAAAAATATCGTATAATGATACTAACCGAAGAAAATTTTTCTTCATATATCCTTATTTACCCTATTTTTTTTTATATATCCAACCTCGAAGTAAAATTTTCATACCCAAGGCTTAACATTTTCATTCACCGAGGATTCTCAGTTGGTCATTGAAACTGTCAGGTCTAAGTACTGGTGGTGATAGACAAATTTAGCACTAATATTCATAAAGTTGATCCCGTATGTAATTCGTACGTAGGAAACTAATACTTTTAAAAATTACTAAGTTTCAAGAAGATAAGCATAAGAAATGCTGAGTTTGTCCATTTAAAATTCGACAGTGAAATTATAAATTCCCCATCCTGTACCAGTAGGTAAAGATAAATATATATTATACTTCATTGAAAGTAGTCCTTGATATACATATTACCAGGTACATAGTGATTCTAATTCGATTGGCCGCAATGTGCCCCTTATTGTTCTTATAATTTCCTAAATTGTTTGCAGTAGCTACACTTTGATACGAATATTAGACATAAAATTTTGGATTTCGAGTCTAGTAAATTATATACAAAATTTCTTGAGCAATTACTTAATAAGAAGTAAAGTCATTCAGACGTTGCTGTATGGTGTGACACCATCTAAGATGGTAGTATGGAGTGACTTTCATATTTACATAAAATAATAATGCCGTAATCTTCATGAACTGGAATTGTCTGCTTATAAATATGTCCGTAACAAGTGTTTACGCTTGATTCCACTAGAGTAATAATGTTATATAAACTCGGCTATTTGTGACAAGAATTTAAAAATCTGTACTTACAAGTACTTCTCTTACCATACAATATGTTACATTGACCAATCATATCAAGTTCAATGTCATAACGATTTATCAGTTGAACGCTAGCAAAGTCATTTCAGCGGGTTACTTAAGAACATGTCGGTTGATAAAGGCTAACACTGCGGTATCGAAACGTGGTTTCTTTTAAATCGACTACTAATTTATTCCCAAACTACTAAAACAGATTTGGATGTTTAATTGAACCAAATGCGAGACATGTATACTAAGGGGATGACAAGGGCTCAGTGTCAGTGGGGTGGGCGCGAACACCATACCCTGGCCATCGGTCAGCCACGGATGCTGCGGTTCTTGGAAGTATCGATTTTCATACCTTGTGGTCGCACGGTATGAATGCGTGGGGTGTCGCGCGGTGGTAGTGGGCGTCTTGGATGCGGGGCTGTTGCGGCGTTCTCGTTGGGTGCGGCCGGGTTTCGTCATCTGTGGTGGGCGAGGGCGGTCATGGGCTCGCGGCGGCTCGTGTCGACGGCGCGGCAGCAAGCGCGTGCGAGACGTCGCGCGGCGGGCCGGCCACTGCCCGCCGCGGCCGTATTGATCGTTGCGCGCGCAGGCCGCCGCCCTACCACATGAATGGTCCCCGGTGCCGCGCGGAGCTCACGTGCTCGCCTGCTCGCCTGTCCCTGCTCCCTGCTCACTGTGACCTCTCTTCGCTCACTATGATCCATTCCATGCAGACGTCGATATTCCCGTCGTACGATACAGGCGTTCCGTCTGGACTATTTTTATATTCGCAATGTTCTACTTATAATGAAGCGAAAAATTACGTTTCATTAAGTCATTTATTTATTAATAGGCCAAAATTTATTTGACTGTAATGCCAATTACCTTATTATATGTGAATTGAGGCACCATAATAAATATTCTAAGAAAAAATGTAATTAAGTAATATTAATGGATACTACGAAAATTATTAATATTTTTTTCTTGGAATAAATAATGAAATAGAAAAATATCATATATGAATATATTGTGCAATTTTTATTAGCTATTTAACACAATTATAATCAAGTTAAAATGTTAATTAA